TATAAAAGTAAAAAAAGACGTTGTACTACTCGTAACACCTGATAAAAATTAAAAACAACAGCTTTAATACTAAGTGTGTGTGTGGGTGTGTGTGTGTCTTTAGAAAGAGGGGATGGCATTAGGTAACCGTTTTTCTACAAATGTTTTATCAGGTCCATAAAGAGCTAAGTCACAAAATGTTTATTTCGTACAAAATGAAGTTTAAATTTTAAAACAGGTTATTGATAATTGATGGTTATCATGACAACAGATATATCGACCTAAAACCAATGTATATATATATATATATATATATATATATATAAGGAAGCCAAAACAACAATTAAAGTATATGAAGGAACAAAATCAAAAAAAATAAATAGAGGCGTGAGACAGGGTGACACAATATCACCGAAACTTTTTAATCAGGCTCTGGAGGATAGATAGATTTAAAAGATTGGAATGGGAAGAAAAAATTATAAAAATTTGTGGACAATGCTTAAACCATCTAAGGTACGCTGATGACATCGTATTGATAACCGATAAAAAAGAAGAATTATTTGAAATGATGAAAGAACTAGACATAGAAGCTGGGGAGATAGGCCTTAATATGAATTACAGCAAGACCAAAACCATAGCAAATACAAATGAAGACATCACAATGAGATGACATCACAAACAACGTGGAACTACGTTGTTCTCCGAGTGCAGAGGTTTCCTCTCACCGGCTCTGGAACCCAATTGAACCATGTGTTACCTACAGTCAAATTTAATTTAATACTGAACATCACAGTTATTTTATAACACAATGTACAATATTTCATAACTAAATGTAATTTAAAGGGTTTTTACCCTAATATTTTGGTGGCTCAGGCATTGTGACCTAGCATTTTCGATTTTAATAACCTGATGATGGACTGTGTGGTCCGAAAAGTTTGTTTTATTGATGTGGCCCTTTTAAGGGTTTTTTAAATAAATATACCCATTTACAAAGATTAACCTCTTTTTGTTATACGTGGTATACAGCCAGCTACAGGAATTTTTCCTTGTGGATATAGGTATCAAACCTAAAAATACTGTTGTTTAATAATAGTATTCCAAGATAATAATATTTTTTATGCCTGAATATGAATACAAATTAATTTCGTAGTAACACAGGTCCCTGTCGCTTACTTTCTTTTTCCTTCATTATTGCTGACTTATAGGACTCCTGGTGATATATTATTCTACGATTTTTCTGATAAATTTCTAATTCTCGAATTGGATGAGAACTGTAAAATATCTGTTTTAGTATTAAAAAAATTTCGACCATGCTCGAAAGTAAGATTTATCTATTTCAACAACGTCAGATGGCGATGGTTTTGCACGAGTACTTCTAAAGGTTTCAACACAATCTGAAGGAATCTCAGTTCGTTGTTTGGAGTTTATTAAGCCCAGATTTTTGTCCGGTTTCAGGTAGGAATGCCCATGAATAGGAAATGTAACTTTAACACAATCAAGTCTATGTGTGTTGTGGACAATATAATGCAGAAAACGAAACATAGTAAAATTTTTATTTTGCCCCCACACGAGTCGCAGAATATTTCAAGCGATCTTACTTGTATATCGAGAAAATTCCATAGAAAGGCATTTAGCATTGAGAATACATCGTCGCTTCTCTTTTTGCCAAATGTTTCCGGGTAAATGTAAAACACACTTTTTTCTGTAGATAGAATGTGGACATTAAAGGCATAGACGTTTAGCTGGCTCTTTAGTAAACATTTTTTGTTGTTATCTTTGGGACACTGAGACATAAAAGCTTGTCTACAAATATTTATTTCTTTTCAGCTGTTATCAGTGCTACTGATACGTACCCTGTAACAATATGCAGCACTTCTCAAATTTGCTTCGTTTTTATTTATCCTAGGCCTCCTTAGGCAAATAGAGAGTACTGCAATCAATCCACATAAGTATAAGTTCTGCTCATTAATAGAATTCATTGTGTTAAAATTCTTGAGTACAGTTTTTCTTATTTCTTCAGGCAAATTTTTAAAACATTGTTTAGATGGCACCATTAGATCGATTTATGAAAAATTCTCCCCTTTTGGACCTGTACTCTTCGTATAATAATATCAATATTAGTTTTTGTGTTTTTATAAAACTTTTATTTGTGTGAAATATTTAGCGGTAAACTTACATTTTGCTCTTGAAGTCAGACAATTAGTACTTTTGTAGGGTATTTCTTAAGTTTACACCTAAAAATTATATGACTGAGCTCTCCGATAGAGTTATTCTCATATGAACAAAGAGTTATTCTGCGTATTTCGATTTTTAATCGATGGTTTAATCCTAAACGGCCTAGAGATAATGAGTCGAATCGACAAACGTTATAATCAAATATTTGTGAGATATTTTGCAGAAGTTGGGGGTATATGTAAGTGTACCGATTTATTAGAGTTTTGTACAAACTTTTCAGCATGTCCTTTTACCCAGATAAAGATTAAATCGAGCGTTTAACTACCTAATATGATCTAATAACTTGTTTTTTAGAGAAGTACATAAACCCTTTTCATTTCTTTGAAAATCAATATATCTAATTAGCCTTCTTCGGTCCATCTTTGGACATAGGCCTCCCCAATCCTTTTCCATTCTTCTCTGTCTGTCGCTACAGTAATCCACCTAGAGCCCACGTGCTTTCTGATATCATCTGCCCATCTCATTTGGGGTCTTCCTTTGCTTCGTTTATATTCCCAAGGTTTCCAACTTATAAGAATTTTGTTCCATCGGTCTTCTTTTTGTCTTATCCGACAAATCTCCATTTTAATTTTGCAACATCTTGTCTAACATCCTTTTTTTTTATTTTTTCTCTTATCCACTCTTTCTCTTTTCATCCATTAGTCTTATGTGCAACATTTGTCTTTCTGTTGCTCTTTGGGTTTTTATGATTTTGTCCATGTTTGCTTTTGTAAATGTCCTCGTATAAATGTATAAATTGTATAAATGTCCATGTTTGGGAACCATAAGTGAGAACAGGGAGTACCCATTGATTGTATACTTTGGTCTTAAGATGCTGTGGATTTTTTTTTTATTTTTAAGAATGTAGCTTGGTTTACCAAATGCCGCCCATGCCAGTCTAACTCGTCTTTTTATCTATGCTGTTTGGTTTTCTTTATTAAGTTTTATAGTTTGACCCAGATACATTTCTGTTCAGTTCTATTTCATTTTGTTCGATCCTCATTGTGATGTCTTCATCTGTATTTGTTCTAATTTTGTTCTTGCTGTAATTCATATTTAGGCCTATCTTACCAGCTTCTACGTTCAGTTTTTTCATAATTTCAAACAATTCTTCTTTTTTTATCGGTTATCAATACGATGTCATCAGCGTATCTTAGATGGTTCAAGCGTTGTTCACAAATTTTTATACGTTTTTCTTCCCATTCTAATCTTTTAAAAATATCTTCTAGAGCCTGATTGAAAAGTTTCGGTGATATTGTGTCACCCTGTCTCACGCCTCTATTTATTTGTATTGATTTTGTTCCTTTATATACTTTAACTGTTATTTTGGCTTCCTTATATATATTGGCTATTAGTTCCGTATATCTGTGGTCAATTCTGCTGTTAATTAAAGAACTTTTCACTGCCCAATGTTCACCACTGTCTAAAGTTTTTCAAAATCTATGAACGCTATATATAGAGGAATGTGTTATTTATTTGCTCATTCTATAAGTATTTTCATACTTTCAGCTTGTTCTGTCGAATTTTGTCGTCAATCTATTGGTTAAAATTTTTGTTAGGAGTTTATACATTACATTGAGGAGTGTTATAGGACGATACCTTTTATGTATGCATTATTACTTTTCTTGTCTAGGATAATAGTTACGGATTTCTTTAAGTTGTTTGGGATTCTTTTAATATCTTGTTAAAAAGGGAGTGTAGAGTATTAATTACCACTTTTTCACCATATTTCAGCATCTCTGCAATTATTCCATCTTTTCCAGGCGGTTTGATGTTTTACATTTATTTCGATGTTTTCTTTATTTCTGATTTGCTTATTTCTAGCTGTAGTTTTGAGTTAACATTTTTATTTTAGCCTTAAGTTGGTTTTTAATTTTTTCTGATGGTTCCTTTTCTATAATATCAATATAATGATTTTTAAATACGTATCTCTTCCAGCATAGCTTACTAAATTCTAATGAAACTAACTGGATTCCCTTACACAAAATTAACTGTGTTGAAATCGTTTAAGTAATCTATAATATAATCAAAAATGTCAACAATATTATCAGTACACCTTATCTGCGAAATAAAACCCTTCTTAAACCCAAAAAATGGTGACAACAAATTGCAAATCTCTCATTTGCATTTAATGTGTCATTGAATATTTTTTAGAAAGTGCTTCAAAACGCATTACAACAAACTCATTAATCTATGATCATTATATTGATCTTTACTTGGTTTTAAAAAAAGTTTAATAAAATCAGGTATATCTTTATATGTTTCATAGATTATCATTCAGGAATCATTCGATATAATAAAACAATCATTCTTCAGATCTGCAAGTAAATTTTATTTTTATGATAATTATTATGACTCTATTGGAATAAGAGCGTAGGAAAAAAATACAGTGCTAAAAAATAATAAATAGTACCTGAAACTATATAAAATTGTTCTATTTGAAATTAAATTCCAGTTATGAATATATGTAAGTAGCTTAAGTCTTATGCTTGGCCTGTCCTGTTATAAAATTACGGTCGATAGACGCATCGTGTAGATTAATAAACTTAGAATGTTCAAAATCGAAGCCTTGCTCGAATACAGAAAACTATCTCATCTTCTGAGGCACCCCTTAAATTTAATTTAAATAAAAACCCATACACATCATCTTCGTAACAAGTTTTCAGGTCTTATGAACTTTGGAATAGTTTTATTTGAACTTTGATTACCAACGGGGATGTTATGAATATGTTTACGCAAAATACGCTATGAGATATGATCTACTATATCATGCTTACAGATTTAAAACTTTACCTAAATTGTTGCAGATGTCTGGTGAGGAAGCTCTCGCGTTTCTACAGGAAGTAAAATATGATCTGGATAAACTAAAGAATCACTATATACAGATGGGTTTAAACTCTTTACAAAATACAAAGGTAAGTAAATATGCTATACTTTATTTTATTCAAAAGAACATCATCATCATCATTAGCCATTTTGCGTCCACTGCTGAACATAGGCCTCCCGTAAATAATTCCATTGCATCCGATCTTGAGCAACTTGAATCCAGTTAGACTGGATGCGCTTTAAATCGTCCGACCACCTTGTTGGAGGACGTCCTCGACTACGATGAGCATCGTGTCTAGGCCTCCACTCTAAAATTTTCTTTGTCCATCTTCCATCTCTGATCCTAGCAACATGTCCTGTCCCAAAAGAACATAAATTAAAAGTAAATATTACGATAAAATCTAATGTTATAGATAATTTAGAGATGATAAAGGAGATATGTCTTCCGTTTCTGGATCCAGTGGACAAATAACTATAAAAAACTGCAAAGATTAGTTCGCATTTAAAGTCTGCTGCCATCCAAAAATTTTTTAAAACATAAAACTTATATTTATAAATTGTAAAATTTGCCTATTTATTTTAGTGACGTAATCGTTAAAAATGGCGGATGTGCACTATTTTATAAAATTATATTAAATCGGATCAAACCACAAGTAATATATCATTTGTTAGTCGTGTGTGAGTCAGTGTATTGCTCGATTTTTGTGCGATTCTATTGCGCCTTTTTAAAATGTGATAGTTCAATTTACAATGACGACATTGTAAGAAAAGTATGAACTACACCTAATAATTTGGTGGTTTTTGGTGGAAAACTCTTGAATACGCCAATTTATTTTTCCAATTTGCCACATTCCAATATAATTTATTTGCTTTTTCATATCTCTTAAAATATGACATAATCAATATTAGTACGTACCTAAAAGTAAGAAAGAGTTATTCTTTTACTGTGAATTTCAGATCATTATCATAATTCAACAGTGGCAAGTTTTAAACAACACGCCTTCCCATTTTTAGCACGTCATCGATAGATAGGACATGTAATTAGGCGAGATGAAGATGAAACGAAGAGAAAAATTTTCGACCGAATAGGACCAGTGGGAAGACGATCCAGAGGAAGACCAAAACTTAGGTATCACGATAACATAGAGAATGATCTAAAATCCATCGCAGTTAATGCATGGAGAAGAGTTGCCAGAGACAGAGGCGAACTGAAGATTGTTCTGAAGAAGGCTTTGGCTCATGACGAGCTGTAATGCCACTGATGATGATGAATTTTTGTAACATAAAGTTGCACATAAATCTAAAAAACATCACCAACGGGCTAAGGAATCAAAATGTAAATGAAGAAGGCCAGAAAAATATAGGCTTCTACTGGACCAGAATAACAGTGGACCAAGATATTGAAGCATCAACAAAAGATGATATAGGAACAGAAACTTGTGATCATAAAAATCATTGGTTTGACGATGAATGCGAGAATATAATATAAGAAAAAATGAAAAAATGAAACATACAGAAAAATACTTACCCTATGAATTATAACAATTATAAAATAAACTTTGATGGTACACAAGGCAAATATCGAACACAGTAGTTAATCAAATTTTGCCCAAGTACTTTCGATCACAAGATCATCCTCAGGGGCATTTCGTCAGTTGTGGCCTATCCAGCAGTAATAGAATGTTATAAATGTAAATTGGGACATAACAAATACACTAAACAAAGACAAACAAACACTTTAAAATTTAAGAAATGGAGAAGCTACATTTTATATAGAAGCCGGAGACAGAGTTCTGTCCCCGGAACATGGGTTTCATGTGTAAAACCAGAATTACTTATTATTGTTATTAAAAAATTATTGAAAATGATGAATAATAAAACTTTACAACGCATAAAAATAAACAAAACACACGTTGATCTTGGCGCGCACAGTGACAGCGATGCCATTAACGCAGTTGGCCGGTTTTGGAACTTAGGTAAGGCAAATCGCCACTTTTGGACATTTTTCATGTATCAGAAGGAAGCTTTTAAGTATCTTTAACTTGATTTTTTTTATTTTTTTCTTAAGTGAGCCGGTTTTAGAACTAGACGACTCAATTAAATATTTATGAAATGTCTTCTAAAATTTATTTTAGCTGGTAGCGTAGCAACGCTGGGTACAGCTCATCGAGCAATAAGATAAAAGAGGGAATGTAAAGGTAGTTGGGTAAACATATTGATAGACAGGACGTGCTATTTTGAGAGGCCACTTTAAACAAAGAAAGAGAATCTCTTTCCTTGTTTAAGAAATCAAATTTAGTTGGGTTATGTTATTGTTGATATTATTGTTTGTCAAAACTGTCACATGAAAGCTTATTTATATATTTTTCTATTGAAGTTTTTTAACAATTGTTTAACATTTTAGACTATTATCGTTATTAATTAATTAAAACTTTATTCTGTTCTAGTGTTAAAAAAAGTATTTTAATAAATAATTTTAATAAATAAATAGATAAATATATAATATAAAATATTATGTAATATAAACACCACTGTATGATTATTATCAAGTGTCATGAAATTTAAATTTGGCGCATTTGCATTTCCGGATATGTCCGCCATCAGAGGCCACTTTTTTGGTCTCCTTTTCATAACGATTAGATTCCCTCTTTTGTCTTATTGCTCGATGGTACAGCTAGTATATAAAAATTATCTGAAAAAATAATAAATTAAAGGCTACTCTATAAAATTCACTATTTTATCAAAGACGATATTTATCTCATACACCCTACACCTCGTAATATAAAGATAACAGCAAAAAATTCATTAGCAAACTGTTTAGATTTCTCTTACACGAAATATGCCATTTCATTACGTAGATATCAGTTACGAACATGACATTACGAACTGATAGAAATTACAACTTGTCCTTTCAGATTACGGATGACTCACCGCTTCAATTGGGAATCAATGCCAAAGTTGGAGTCTACGACAAGCCTGAATTAAGGAGTAATTTCAACATCAAGCAACTTCGCAAGGAGATGGACACTTCTCAGAGAGAGATAAGGAGTAATGCTGGTAGGTATTACTAATATAGTTTTAGTTTTACAGTGTCATAGTTTAAATTCTTTTTATTCTCAAAAAATTCTGATGATATTCTTTAAGATTTACTTTTTTTTTAAGTAATGAAATGCTCTTGTTGGACTTCGTAAAAATAGTAACAAAAAGTAATTATAACCGTCTGAGATAAAGTAAGATACGAACCAGCTGTATATGTATAATTTAGTATACATAAGGGAGTTAGTTAGTTTTCATTAAATAAAAACAGTGTTATAATCAAGTTCAACTAAGATCAACGGTTGAATCTGCAAAAACCAATAAGTAAACAAAGTTTATTTACATATATTTAAGCATTTATTGACAATCGAAAAACACCCTTCATTTTTCGAAGTCTTGATAAGTTGAAATATCAAAACAAGTTCTTCAGGTGAACAGGACCGCACTCGCCCACAATTTAAATTATTAATGTGGAGTTCAAATAATGGATAACAAAAATCCAGGGGACCATGTTCCTAACCCTCCTCTGAACCTTCCCATACCTAGTAATTCAACTCAATACAATTCCCAATTATACGCATCAATTACAACAAAAAATCAAACAATATCCAAATTTCCCGATAAACAGCAAGCCATCTTATTTACTTATATTAACGACGTAAAAATTGAAGAATATATAATAGCCTTGGGCAGTATTGTAAATCCTATAGATATTATTTTTGCCTCAAGGATTTCATAAAATTGAATATGCATTTTAGTAGATAACTGGTTAAAAAATTATGGTTCAATTATTAAAGGTAACAATCAAATTCTCACTGCCCGCAAATTAATCACTCCAATTCAAAGAATTGTTTTATCCAATGTATGCCCCAGCATACCACATTCTATTTTAGAAGCAGAGCTAATAAAGCTATTATCACCTATCAACTTTCTTAAAATAAACGCGTCTCGCCCAGAATTTAGTCATTCTCAGTTTTCTCCGACAAACGTATATTACTCCTTTAGAAAGCAATGCAACATTATCAGCATCTTTCATAATAAATTTCGACAATACATCATACAGAATTTTCTTAGCAACCGACAACCTTGAATGTTTTTCTTGTAAACCATCGGGTCTCTTAGATGCAGTATGCACACTTCTAACAGATAACGAGCCAACTTCATTAGAGAATTTCACCCAATGCACAAAAGCCGCCAACACTCTAGCGTCTAATGATGAATCTCGTCAAAACATAAGCGCATCTTCAGTTAATTAAAATGTCAATGTAAATACGAAAGAACAAAATAAACATAATACGGAATCAATGAAAACATCTGAAATGGTAGCCCAAGAAACTTCAACGATGGCTGAAGGAAGGCTTTATGGAAAATGCTAAATTTAAGTTGCATAACAACTGAACTATTTCCAATGCAGAACTATACGCAATCCTTGAAGCTCTAAAATTCGTTAATAAATTGGATCAGAGAAATTACACAATCATAATTGACTCAGTGAATGCTCTTTGTGTCATTCAAAACATATACTCTAGCAACTCTATTCATAAAGACATTTACACAGAACTTTAAAATGCTGCAAAGGAAAACAAACCCGTGGCATTAATTTGGGTTCCATCTCATATTGGAGTACACGGTAACGAGGATGTGGACCGTCTAGCTGACAAAGCAGCGACAAGTGATGGTCAAGTTCAATTAAATAAAATAGTGCCAAGTGATATTAAATTGTGCTTAAAAAAGATAGTTGTGCATGGCAAAACAAATGGTCGCAGTGTTCTGAAAAACTAAGGCAAATTAAAGACAATGCTTTACAAAAATAAGCATTTGTATTACCTAGAAAAAAGCAAGTCATCTTTTCTCGACTTCGACTTGGTCACACCCGCTATATTCATCTTTACCAAATTACAAGAGACAACCCCCATACTGCAACCAGGGTAAAACTAATAGTACAGTAAAACATTTTAACTGAATGTAACATTTTCCAGAAAACTAGAAGTTAACTTAACCTTCCCAGCGACATAGGCGAGCTTCTTAGCAAAAATAATCATCTAAACAATAATATAAAGTTTTTAACGGCTACAGGCATAAAAGATATTTAAATTAAAATCTATTTTGTATCACAAATTACATATATTAATCTTCTTTCATGTTAGTATGTAATTAATATAATACCCTTTCTTTGTTCTAATATGTAGTTTCCAGTGTTGTCGTCTATGTAACCTCAGTGGTTCGGACAACATTAAATAAATAAATAAAAAAAATATATACATAAAGAAATTTTTATAAAACATATTCATGTACCTAATATTATTTATAAAATTAGATAATACCACATCTATTAACTATTTCCTAGATATTTTATTTCATACCAGAAAAAAATGATAAAATGCGTTCAATTTTTTTGTTCTCCACAAAATAAATCTCATCCCACGTCTGAAAACTTCATCAAGTATTTGTTTTGTGCGGTTATTGCTTTTTGTTTAAATTAAAAAGTAAATGGTGCGAAGAAAAGTTAATTAAACGAGTGATGGAAACGCAATTAAGGAAGGACAGCTTCGGCGTTGGTTGATGATTTTTATTTTCTATATCTAAGTTTTATACTGCCGTCGTGACGATTTTAAATTAAATGAACTTTTATTTTTCTATTTTAAATTCAGTGTGCATTTGTGACAGTGGAAACAAAGTTTGTGAAAGATTATTGTACATTGTTGAAAATAAAAAAATATTAACAAAATTAGACCTTTAAGTTTATTATATAAGAAACACACTTTTAAATGAGATTTGTTATTGTCAATATATACATACTTTAATTATCATTCTGAAAAAATGTTAGTTGTTTGCTGATGATATTGAACATTCCCGAGAAAGACTGGCACTATATTGAGAAAACACTTACAAGAGTAACAGAAGACTACCTCACACAAGATACACGAAAAAAGAACAAACCATGGATGACAGAAGAAATTCTAAACATGATGGACGAAAGAAGAAAATACAGAGGTAAAAGTGAAACAACATACAAGCAAATACACAAGAATATTAGAATAAAGATCCAACAAGCCAAAGAAACCTGGCTAAGTGAAAGATGCCAAGAAATTGAAGAGTTGGAACAAAGACATGATACTTTCAATCTACATAAAAAAGTAAAAGAAGCCGCTGGAATATTTAAACAAACTCCTACGTCTTTCATCGAAGATAAACATGGGAACCCGCTACTGAACGTGGAAGATCAAATAGGTAGATGGAGAGAATACGTGGAAAGATCTTTCAAGACCAAGAGAGGACGAACATTTACATGCAGGAGGCATCGACTGGACCTTATATCACAAAGCAAGAAATTATCAAAGCGGCAAATCAGATAAAGAACGGAAAAGCTGTTGGAGAAGATAATATCCCAATTGAAATAATAAAGATATTACTAGACGAACACATCGAAGTAATGGAAGATATATTTAACAAAATATCGGTGTATCGGTGTTTATGCCACTATCAAAGAAGAGAAACTCCAAGAAATGTGAAGACCATAGGATTATTAGCCTGATGAATCATATGTTGAAGCTTTTCCTACGAGTAATACACAATAGAGTATACAATAAACTAGACGAATACACTGGTCAAACTCAGTTTGGTTTTAAGAATGGGTTCGGAACAAAAGAAGCACTTTTTTCAATACGTGTGCTAGTTGAAAGATGTAGAGATGTCGATTCTGATGTATACTTGTATTTTATAGACTTTCAGAAGGCGTTTGACCTGGTGAAACATGATAAACTAATAGATATTTTAAGGTTATGTAATATCGACGATAAAGGATCATTTCAAACCTCTACCAAGAACAAAAGGCTAAAATCAGAATAAAAAGCGAAACATCTGGAAAAATCAATATCGAGAAGGGAGTAAGGCAGGAATGTGTCCTATCACCTTTGCTGTTCAATGTTTACTCTGAGAAGATATTTCAGAAAGCTTTGGAAGGCACCTCAGATGGTATAATTATAAACGGGCAATGTATAAATAACCTGCGATATGCTGATGACACTGTCATACTGGCAGATAATGCTGAAACCCTGCAACACTTAATGGACCGAGTAACGACAGCCTGTAGAGAATTTGGAATGAAATTGAATACAAAGAAGACAAAAACGATGGTCATCAGCAAGCACCAAAACAGAAGGGTGAAGGTCAATGTCGACGAAACAGATCTGGAAAGAGTAACAAGAACAACGTACCTTGGAAGTAATCTTGATGAAACTTGGGACCACTCACTAGAGATAAGAATACGCCTGGAAAAGGCACGTACGATGTTTTACAAAATGCAAAAAGTTCTATGCAACCGCCAGCTGGACATCTCATTGAGAACTAGAATACTTGAACTAGAAGTGCTATGTTTTCTCCACCTTGCTCTGTGGTGTTGAAGCCTGGACAATGACAGAAGCAACACAAAAAAGAATCCAAGCATTCGACTCTGGTGTTACCGTAAAATGCTCAGAATATCCTACATGAGCCATACGACAAATGCGCAAGTCTTGCGGAGGATGAATAAGGAAAGAGAGCTTATGCTTATAATAAAAGAACGGAAAACACAATATTTTGGTCACATCATAAGAAATCAAAAGTATGAACTGCTCCAACTTAAAATCGAAGGCAAAGTCAATAGCAAAAGAGGCCCAGGAAGAAGACGCAACTCTTGGCTTAAAAACCTACGGCAATGGACGAATATGACCTCCATAGAACTATTCAGGGCTGCTACAAATAAGATTAAATGGGCAAATGTAATGACCAACGTCCTTAAGGATAAGGCACCGTAAGAAGCAGAAGAAGATTGAACATGATTTTTAAGCTTAACCTTTAAAAAAACCCATCCTAGATAAATATAAATATGCTATTATCTGCAAAAAGATTTGGGAATCCGGAGAGTGGCCCAACCAGTGGACAACATCCACTTTCATCCCTATATTCAAAAAACTCCGCTAGATTGCAGCAACTACAGAACGGTAACCCTAATATCCCATGCAAGCAAGGTTTTACTTCAT